AGTGTGTGTGTGAGTGTGTGTGTGTGTGAGTGTGTGTGGTGGTGTGTGTGTGTGTGGTGTGAGTGTGTGTGGTGTGTGTGTGTGTGTGTGTGTGTGTGTGCAGTCACCTCATGCAGAGTGGACACTCCATGTCTCCGCTGTCCAACAGCTCAGCAGGGAACGTCCGTCCTCCACACACTGAGACCGTCTGAGAGCTGCCCGCCTCGTCTGTACACAAAACATCACAACATCAATATACAAACAACAGCTTCAATTCAATGATGATGGCAGGATTTAAGAACAACATCAACTTAAAACATCAATAAAATAAATACATTTGAAAACATTTAAATGTGAATTTGATAAGCTTATGTGTATGTGTTTATATATGGAAAAGGAAACAGCCGTTAGCTAACAGTAGATATCTTTCAGGCGAGTTTAGGTTATTTAATATCTACAGGCAACAATAACGTACGATGGCTCATTAATGTTGTATCACATGGATTCATTTCTGCTCCGTTTTGTTAAATTGAAGATCAGGCTTTTTCTTTTAAAAGAATCATACTGTGGTTATTCAATCATTTTTATGTACACTACTAAGTTATAAACTTTAACGTTTCAAAAATACTTTGATCATTGTTACTTATCCTAAGTCAGTTGTGTTGTGGTGCTGAACATTAACTTGATTATGTAATACGTTACACATTAATTAATTCATTGTCATCATGAGACAGGACACCCTGTCCTCACTGTGCAGCTCCTTCAGCGATAGGCTGCATTCTGAAGATCGGCAGAGATGAAAAGGCTGCATTATTTTTGTGTCATTGGTCGGAAAAGTGGCCCAACTGGTTCAGCTCTGCAGGATGACACAGCTTCGTATTGCTTCAGCTCGATACATGTATACATACAGTAATTACTCAGTGATTAGAGTAATTACTTGGACAAGTTGTTCTAGTACAAGTAATTAAATGTACTTTTGGTGTAATCCTTTAATCCTTTCACCTGGCCATGACTGAATACTGTCGAACTAAGAATACTAAAAGTCTTGAATTTAGAGCAGGGGTGTACTTTTCTTTATGGATATTTTACTAATCACTCCCCTTTTAAACTCTATTGTTGTTTTACTGCCATATAGTATTTCATAACTGTTTTTCCTTTATTCTCTTATTTTTTTTATAACTATAATGATCGAAGGTGTGCCGCGGAAATAATCTTTTGAATAATTTGTGACCAAACCGTTTGAGACCCACTGAGATAACTTAGACTAAAGTTATGTATCTAAACACTCAGAGTCCTTTAGCTCAGGGGTTCCCAACCCCCGGTCCGCGGACCGGTACCGGGCCGCGGAGGTGTTACTGCCGGGCCGCGAAATAGCTGTGAGTTTATCGTAATATTTGCAGAATTATAAATATATAAAAATATTTTATCATAATATTTTTTTCAAAAAGTGTTTAATTTTCGCACCTATGCCACCAGTCATATTATTTCATCCAGTAGCTAGTTAATCTTTCAGCAGAAAACCGTTGAAAATGGCTTTTATGATGTTCCGAGGGATTCGGCGGCTCTTGTGCGCACGAGAATGTTACCGGTGCGCCAAGTAGGAAGAGGAGCGCACAGGAGACAACCGTTTGATTGCAGACTGTTATGTTTATGTGGGGAAATGGTGGTGCATACATTATTTGAGATATATTTCAAACTCGGACTTCATTTTAAGGACATGTCGGCCAGGGGTGTAGAGCTATTTGTTTAAGCACCGGATTGGCAAAACAGGAGAGTAAACCAGTCTGCCTTGATCTATGAATTAATGTCCGGGACTCTCACGGTATCTGCTGCCCGCAGCTGTTTTATAGAAGGAAACCCTCCTTCACTTCATGAAATGGCTGAAGCATCAGGAGGCAGCGGGACGTATACTCGTTAAAGAGCTGTGCCTTTTTACGCACCGCCTTCGCTGTGTTTAACTTAATCAGAACAGTTTAAGAGTGACTGCAGGCTGCTACGTGTTACCACACACACATCTCTACACACATCGAACTGCCCGATTACTCCCCCTTTTATTAGTTTTATGAAGGAGATGTCCAGTCAGTCACCAAGGCGCATGATGTGTGTGTGTGTGTGTATGTGCTCTGCTCAGCTCAGCTCTGTGTGTTCGGTGTGTTTGTGTCCGACACCGGCATATATGCGGCTGTTCCCAAAATAAATTAGTTTAATCTTAATCTCGATGTAGTGCTAAATGCTGTCGGGAGTGCACCGGAACGAACGACACTATCATAATATCTTCTGAAAACAAATGCCAGTGACACACACACACACACACACACCCACCCACCCACCCTGGCGACCGGACATCTCGTTCATAATGCGCCTTCTCCTCGTTTTCCCAGCATTCACTGGAGTATCCGTAAATCATACAAACAAAACCACAACGTTGATTTATCTGTTTTCCCGTTTTGGTTTAAAAACTGAATAACGTCGGTTTTTTGGTTTTCCGAAAAACCAAAAAACAACACCGGTTCTTTTTTAAACTTTGTTAATATGTTTTGGATGCATATTGTTCTAGTATTTGTTCAGGCTGTTACATACAATTAGACTCTGTTGCTACCTGCTGGTGGTGAGTAAATATTAAAATCAGTTAAAATTGACAACCGGTCCGCGATTTTTTTTTAATGTATCTACCGGTCCTTGGCACAATAAAGGTTGGGAACCCCTGCTTTAGCTCACCTGAGTCTCTCAGTCTGAGAGGAGAGGACTATCCTCCAGCTTCTTGTGGAACAAACAGCTCCTTATGTCCGTTAGTGCAGCTAGCTAACCAGATGCTAACAACACGGTCCCTGCTGGCATCGTCCCTCCCTCCCCCTCTCTCCCTCTCTCTCTATCACACTAAATGCGCTATTGCCACACACACACAGAGCCGAGCTTGAATGACACAAGCACACGTTTATTTCCATGCAACTCTCTGATTGGTCTGGTGTCATGCCTCTGTTGCATTCACTGAACACGGGAAATTACAGTGCTGCCGTCCTCTCTTGTGTCATGATGAGGTTCACGTAAAGCACGGTTAATGTATTATATTATTGAGGGAGAATTGTCCGGGGCTACAGAAAAAACATTCGGGGCTAAAGCCCCGGATGCCCAGGCCAGGCGACGCCACTGATTTAGAGAATCCGCATCTCGTTGTTACTCCTCGTATTTTCTCCTTTGTTTACTTGCTCATGTGCTTCTTCAAAATCTGATATTTCCCACTTTACTCAAGTCAACATAAGGATAGAAATGTGTTTGCTGAAACTTGATGAGGAATAAGTTATGTACATGTTTGTATTAAAGCTACTTTAATAATTATATCCTGAATTGATCATTAGAAAAAAAATCTTAAAGTAAATGTGCTTTCCAACCAATGAGAGCAAAGGATTCAGAAAGTAAGCCAAGTAGGGACACACAAGTACATTGAAGTAAAAATGGATTTAGAGAATCCACATCTTGTTGTTACATCGCGTTGACATTTCCCACTTTACTCAAGTCAATATAAGGGTAGAAATGTGCTGAAACTTCATGAGGAATACATTATGTAACTGTTTGTATTAAAGCTACTTTAATAATGTATTAATTCTACCCTCTATTGATCATTATGTAAAGGTGCTTTCCAATCAATGAGAGCAGCAATCATTTAGAAAGTAAGCCGGATACACAAATAATTATAAAAAGACAACAGAGAATAGTGTGTTCGAACCACAACACCAACATCAGCCGTTAGCTGTTAGCCCTCAGAGCTCACAGCTCCTCATATCTGTTCAGAAACTAGACAAAAGTTAAACAAGTACAAACCACAGACTGCCTGTGTCATGGCGAATACAGTCGCTGCTTTATTTATGTCTGTAGGCCGTTGTTGTGAGTGTGGACGGTCGGAGCATATACTGCGTTAGCTTAGCCGATCTCCATTCAGAAAACACGCATTTTAAAAGGTTTTTCGCCTGCCGTCTGTCTGCAGACTTGTCAAAGCATTAATTCATGGTTTTTACTAACCGGTATCAGTATGTTGTTACTTCGGCATCATTTTGAAACGTGTATTACAATTAAATCACCGTCAAATATGTTCATTTTGTTGTAGTTGCTAGCGATTCTCTCACTAGTTTAGCATACTCAGCCCGGTTGTTGGCCCGGAAAGAACCACGATTTTGGAGAGCCAGAAAAACTGTGAAAAAGTAGCCGTTAGCCGGTACTACCCCTAGTGGAAACGCAACAAAAAAACGGGCCTGGTTTGGCACGGCACGCTTAAACCGTGCTACGCGCTGCAGTGGAAATGCGCCATTAGATCCTCGTACCGGGTCTGAGCAGTTTGGTGGGATGGTTAGTGCCGGCAGAGGGTCCTTCTCCGCTGTGCTTCCTCTTCACGCCACCGGGGGGGGCCGGCAGCGCAGCCAGGACCTCGGCCAGGCTCTTGGTGCTGCCCTCCGGAGGAGAGAGTCTGGAGGACGAGTCGTCCACTGGAGAGCCTTTAGACACACTGAACTCTGAGTCCTGCACACAAGGAGAGAAGAGAGGGGCCATTGTGTTATGTTATGTTTTTATATATATTTGTATTTTTGTATTCGGGATTGTGGGAAACGGTATTTTGATCTCTCTGTCTGTACACACAAACTGAAAGGTTGACAATAAAGTTGACTTTGACTTTGAGTTACCTGAGAGGAGGAGCTAGGTCTCTGAGCTTGCGGCCTCAGGGACATCAGTAAGGCGGGGGGTTTGATGAGGCGAGAGGCCACGCCCCCCTGCAGCGGGTGCAGCGGCATGTTTCCATTCTCAAACACAGAAGAGAACACCTCGCTGAGGACCTGCAGGAGGACATACACACAGAGACAGATGAGCACGAGTAGATACTGATGAGACATGCGCCTCTTGTCCAAACCGCAATATCTATCTGTTCTCAATGTCAGAAATTGAAAAATGTTATACCTGTAGGAGCCAAAATGCTGTGGTAGCCTGTGTTTATAGTAGTATTATCTTCATTATTTGTTATCACCACACACACACTTGTAATGGGTTGTTGCCGGTGATTGTCACATGGTGTGGTTAATGGTATTTAGGGCACCTGGTGTATGTGGAGGTTTGGTAGCGTGACAATGGAAAACGTTGAGTTCAGTACAGACGTTATTATTTATACGCGTCACATGAATGAGCGAAGTTTAGCGTTAGAGCGGCCGCATTCAACGGGAATATAGCCGCCACAATACCTATGGAGGAATATATGAGGATTCTACCGCTTTGATTCAAGGGGAGCTTTTCTTACCTTCTGCGCCTGCAGTTTGACTTTGGTCCAGTTGGGTTTCAGTGCGACACACATCAGATATTCCTGCAGCGCCTCGTCGTTCCGCCCCGCTTCACTCAGCGCCGTGGCTTTCAGACTGTGAGCCTGGAACAAATAGACACTGTATGTTGCCATGTGTTCTCGTCAACAGGTGTTAATTATGTGTTTTGTTTTGATTAATGAGTATCTCTGTTCTTGCATTTTTATTTCAAAAACCCCTTTCAAACCAAATGTCCTTCGATCAGCAACATGTCTGCAGTATGTATGAAAATGTATGTATAATTCACTTTCTTGCTTTAGTAACAACCCATGATTTTAAACCAGCAGTACATATGTAAACGGGTGAACACAAATGTTTCACATAGCGTGTTTTTTTACTAGTTTCAAACCATTTTGCTGCAGTATCTATAAAAATACCCTATTTCACAACGACTACATGAACAAGTCTAATGCAAAGATGTGTGAAAAACTATCAAATGTTAAATAGAAGCACAGAATATAATCAATACCTTTGTTTTTTCCGTATTTTATAGTATTTAAAGGTCACCTATCATGCTATTTTTAGCCAATAGCATAGGTCTCAGATATATAAAAATATATAATAAACATGTCTATGAAGTGTTTTGCTCAAAATACCAAACAGATCACCCATTCTAGCCATGCCTCATATACCTCTATTTCACTTCCTGTTTCAAAAGTGCTGATTTGGGGTATAAAGCTTTAAAAAAAATAAAATTGATAAGAAATAAAGAAGGAGGGTTCTGAGCTCATGCGGGACCCGGCAGCTACTGTCTAAACTAAATGCTGCCGTGATGAAACGCCATATCATGGATTATCAAGGATTATTTCTGAAACAGTATGGAGCTCAAAGGCTTTCTCTCTTGCCGGTTATACCACAAGGTGAGTTCCTTTTTATTTCCTGCTTCTTCACACACATGCTCTCCAGTACAGGTTAGCTCTGAGTGTTAGCGATGCTAATGTAAACACAGACCATATTACGTCCAAAACAGTCGGGCATTGTTTCTGATAGCAACGTTTCTGATAGGGCCGTGGGTCCACATTTCAGATATTACGTCATATTGGACGCAAATCTGGATCATCTCCGTTGTAGCCCCGTTTTTAGAAATTTGGGTACGGAGGAAAAGAGAGAGGGTTTTATTTTCTGACGCTGCGTGAGTTCCCCGACACACCGGGGACACATATTTATGTATAAAAGACATCAAAAAGTGCATTTTGCATGATAAGTCCCCTTTAAAGTATATTCTGAGCTCTCCTGTTTACTGTCTCAATAAATAGGAATACTTACTAATAAGATAAGATAAGATAGTACTTTATTGATCCCAATTAGGGTAATATTTGTGTTGCAGCAGCATAAAGACATGGCATTGTACAATACAAATTAGAAAGATTAGAAAAAAACAAGAAAGTAAAAAATATAATGGAGCCGATAGTTCTCTGCCAGCCAGAGGTGATGCTTATGAACACGAGATAAATGCGTTTATTTGTTATATATTTTTGGATGAATTGTATCTTTGCCTCACCTTTGTCCAGTGAGGTTTTATCCGACAGAGGCTGCTGGCGTCCTGCATGGCCAGACTGAAGTTCCTCATCTCCACGTGCAGCTCAGCGCGCTGACAGAGCAGCCGGCCTATAGAGGGCGCTGTACACCACACAGAGAGAGAACACACACACTCCATTAGGTCAGTGACAGGCCTCCAGGGACAGATGGGCTGTTCTGGGCTGCAGAAGTAGGGCAGCAGCCATGTAACATGTGGCTGGAGGAGCCCTATTTGACTTGTTCAAATGCTGCGTAGTTAGAATGGCGTAATAACATGTTGTCATTTAACAGTCCAAATTTGTAGGAAAACATTCACTGCATGGCCGGATTTGTGTGCAAGTGTTACACATTTAGTTCTAATAATAAATAGTGATACTGTGTATATCCAATTTGCACTATATTCCCTCGTCTTTCTTAAGAAGATCCAGCACGATAAGAGCCGTATTTCAAGCTTTGACTACGATTAGTTTAAAAAGGTACATTTGTAATAATGTATGTATATTTAAATGGCACATTTGTTGAAGACAGTTCAAGTTTGCAAAAAATCAAAAGAAGAGTTTAGACAACATGCCGTCAGTATTTGTATTATTCTCTAGTCGACATGTTTTAATTACTTTGTTGATATTTTGTCCCATCGTAGGTCAAGCAAACTATACTTAGGACTTAATAAACATAAATAACAACTTATTTTTTCACTCTTGGTTTGCTTCCAAGACTGTTATTAAATTGCATTGACTCTTGTTGCTCAGTATTAAACCCAGTATTGATCAACGAGGTGTTTCTACAGTTTTCTTCCAACTCACTAAAGGTGATTCACCATAAAAGCAAAAGGTCATGATCATTGCTTCTGGAACTGTGTGGGTAGGGTTGCATATCGTTGACTTTTTTACGATACCGATACCGATACCGATACCACTGAACGATACCGATACATATCGTGATACTTTCATGTTGCATAAGAGAAACATTTTTATCACAGTGTGGGTGGATCCTCAAAGCCTTCGACAAATAATTAGCCAAACGTTTGGATAGCTAGATTTCTCAACTTTCCAAAAATTAAGCAGAAGGTGGAGAAGCTACCTGAGCGAAGTCAGCTGAAGCTCCAGACAGACAGACAGTATTAACAGCGGTTATATGACACGATATGAAACATTAAGCCCGGAGAACAGGTGTTTATATCACTAAAGTCCAGCAAACCCGTATTTATGTCATCTTGTTAACGCTAGTAACTATTGACAATATGCTATTAAAGTTTCCTGGCCACCCTACATGACTCAGATTAAAATAAGAGAACTTTATAAAAGTAAATCTAACAAAGACTGAGTGGCCGCCATCACAATCTACAACAATCATGATTTTCCTATTTCTCTAATGGCTTCCTGTCAGGCTTTACGATTTGGAAAATATGACTAACTGCGTGCCTTTTGAGTGCTATTGCGACATGATTAACAATTTATCATTTTTACTGTCGGCTGGGATATCTATGCAGCTTCACAATACTTCATTTAAAAACACACAGTGTTTCCCACAGAATTTGATTCCCCCCGGCAAGAAAATCCAAAGGCCCCTTAACCTATTCTGGTGGCCCACGCATCCACCCCCCCAGAAAATACATGCGAGTTCATGACTACTGTAGACAACGTTCTTGTTGCTCTGTGTTGCGTTGCTATTGAGTGAGACACACCGGAGTTGAGGATCTGTGGGGTTTATTCTCCCAAAAATATAATTTACAATTTAGGCATTTAGCAGACGCCTTATTCCAAAGCGACTTACAATGACCAATTACAGGGACATTCTCCCTGGAGTAACTGAGGGCTAAGTGCCTTACTCATGGGCACACTAGTAGTGGTGTTCCAGGCGGGATTTGAACTCGCAACCTTCCGATCATCAGCCCACCTCACTATCCATTAGACCACCACTATTCAAATTTAAAAAATATATATTATATATTATTCTAATTTTTTTAATTTTATGAGATCCATTTGTGGCGGACGATATTTAATTGTGGCGGCCCGCCACAATTAAATCAATGTATGGGAAACACTGACACATATTCAGTCTTTAACAAATATTGTGCTTCCTGCAATTTGAACATTGCACTTGTCCATATTGTGATTTTGATTACATTTCCCAACAATGTGCAGTCATAGTTTTCTGTAATATTTTCTAGTACATCCATATTTTTTGTTCTTCACATAACAGATACTCATTTGGCTTCTTCTGATAGGGGTAAGCTTAAACCAGTTGATTTTTTTTGATCGTATGAACTCCTATATAATGCAGAGAAAAAGGCTGTAGCGTTTAATGGAAGGTAAGAGTAAGAGTGAGAGAGTGTCAAATACCTCAGAGTTATATCTCATTTCAATAAATCCTAATCTGATAGACAAAAAATGTGTTATGAAACCGCTCCACATAACTCACATGGACTCCGACTTGAAGTAAAATGGAGAGTGGTTATGAGTGGGTAACTTGACCTTTAATCATGAGCAACCAGCGAGAATTGTACCAGCGTTAGTTGCCAACACTCAGATCTCAACATGTGGGACTTGTTCAGTTCTGTGCCTAATAGGGACAATACAATATAGGCTATAGTCACACCATGGGGAGTGTGATCCTCGGAGAACTGACGCACTTAAGCAAGAACACATTTGATAGAAAGTACTGTTTGCTGTAGCATGATTTGTGTTGCACTGCATTGGGTAAACAACGATGAATTGGGAAATGTGGTTCCTCAAGCTGGATGGGCTTAATGACGCACATCCTTTTAGTTGTTTGTCAAAGAGAGAATTAAACAAGATATCAAATGCAGGAAGAGTAAAGGAAAAATGTGAGGGATCCAGAAAGAGCGGTCACAAAAGGTAACAGGATATATTTGTAGTCTTTAGACCGTGATTTTTCCCGTTTCAGTCCTGACTTTGATTGACTGATGCTCCCTTCTGCGCAGATTTACTTGTTTTTCATTCATTGAATTCTCTTAGTTGTGTTACTTTGCAAGAAATAATGCACCCTCTTCCTCAGTTTCTACATTGAACCTGACTTTTATTTCCCAAATGCATTGTATAAGATGTGGCACATTTGTCCTAAAACGCACTGGTTAGATAACAGTTGTATTTTCTGCTGACATGAGCCCGTTACTCATCTGACATCACACACACCACGCTCCTGCTGCATTTGTTGGGAAAACATTGATTGGCTGTGACCATGCTGTGAAGGCACTCTGTCCTCCTCTCGCCCACAATGCTTCACAAGACAGAAGGCATGCAATCAATATTGATCTGGGGAGAGAATGATCTGAACATGTGCCACTGAAATGCTCAAAGAGACAAAAAGACAGTGTGTTATATTCATTTTTGATTGACACGCTGAGACAGCTTGCTGTGATAGTGCCTTGGTTCACACTATTTCTTAAGTTTTTAGAGGAAGGGGTGAGGAAATTGATTTTTAATGTGACTGATATTGAGGCCAGGGGTGAAAAAAGGTTGCTTGACATTTCTGAAGATTTAAACCATGCAACATGAGACATGCTGCTATGTTATCCAACACACCATGAACATCTTATGAAACACCATAAGGGGAGGAGCTTGGGCTTAAATCCAACTCATGCAGTATGTAGGCTACGCATTATATAAATAGGACTGAATAATTGAATTAGACTAATATACACAGTGTTACATACGTATTTTCTCTACAATTGCTTTATGAAAAACCTTCAGCACTGCAGGGTAGGAATAGAAAACACACAGAAGCTTTAGAAAGAATAAGATCAGAAGTGTGCTGCTTAGGTAACCAAGTCCAGTGCGTCATAACGCGTCTGACCTCAGTGCGGGAGAGAAAGGTGGGAATGGCACCTCTTAATGGTGACACGGTGCAGCTACACTGGGAACAAGTAGGTCACCTGTACTAAATACTAAAGTTTGGATGAAAACTTCTCACATTACAAACAGAAATGCACACATGTTGCGTCATCTTACCTAGATCCACTGCTGCGTTGTACTTCTCCAGAGCCTCAGAGTGTTTTTTCTCTCCCCACAAAACCTGCCCTTCGATCCAGAACTTCCTCGCTTTGCTCTCGGTTGCAAACAGTTTATCCAGCAGGCCACTGAGCACCACGTCCAGTCTCCTGTCGTTTGGCAGGCCATCTTTCTTCTCGTTAAACTGTTCCTTGCACTGCACACACTCTGTGATAGCCTCGTCCTCCAGGCAGATTTTGCAGAAGGTGTGTCCGCACTCCACGGTGGTGGGCTCATGGAGGAGACACTTGCAGAGGCGACAGGAGAACAAATCCAGTGCTTCATCATCTCCACATTCCCCATCACTTTCAACCCCTTCTTCCTCACTGCTGCTGGAGCTTTTCCCTCCAGGCCCGGGGAAGCCCAGCTCTTTCTCCCGGAGAGTCCGAGCAATTGTATCCACCAAAAGAGGCAGTTCCTCCGGGTGCAGTTTCCCCAGACTGGCCGCTGTGCAGTAGGAGTCCAGAGCCTCAGAAATCCTCCCTGCTTGGGTCAGACAGTCGGCTTTCCTCAGACAAAGACCCCTGTCTGGATGCTGGAGGTCTGCAAGCTGGGAGGTGTAGATCTCAGCAGCCAGACTGTAGTCTCCAGCCCGGTTCACCTCCTCTGCCACCTCCAGCATTTCAGGGCAAATCCCCGCAGCCCCAGGGTTGGAGAGCGGATGGACGAGCATCTCGACCCTCGTCTCCATGTTGGAGAATGAGATACTTAAACAATGAAGGAGAGCTTCACTGATGCCCGACTCTCACTGCTAGCCATTGATGTTGTAGACGACCTCCACCACGATAAAATAAAGAGGTGTAAAGTAACTACGTTCATTTACTCAAGTACTGAGGGGCTTTATTTGAGCATTTCCATTTTACTGCTACTTTGTTATTAAACTCTTCTACAAGTCAGAGGTAGTTTAGTTACACCTGGAGTAAATGCACAAGCTACCCTGCAGCATATAAAGTTATTCAAACTAGCTGCACCTTAACCAGCGTTGATAAACACATTAGCATCAATATTTTTCATCTAAACATATACTTAATATTATTTTGAATCTGCATAATTTGTAACTTTAAGTGTATTTTGATGCCAGTACTGTCCTACCTTTGCTTTTTGAATGCAGGACTTTTACTAGAAACAGAGCATTCCTACACTCTGGTATTTCTACTTTTTAACTAAAGTACAATATCTTAAGTGCTTCTTCCACCTCAAAATGTGACGTCACCAACGGGTCCAGCTGGGGTCCGTGTAAACACCAGCCTCTGAGTCACTGAGGGTAGTAGAAGAAATGCGTACTTAGTAAATAAAAACTTCGTCATATCACATAGCACCACGTCTCTCGGCCAAAACAACGTGTCCCTTTTTTTAGGAGAATACAAAAATATATTCTACAGTCTCCTTCTGTTGAGTCGAGAGGCGGTGGGTAAAGTCCTCCGTGCTCAGCATGTAAGAAGCTTAATATCCATGGTTATTCGGTGTTACGATGACATTATTAACTCGGCAAAAAGCTACGTTTTCAACACATTTATAACAAAAAAACATTAAAGTCCAGTTTACATAATATATATTTAAAACGACAGACCCAAAAAGCCCCTCTCTGCTTCAGCCAACTGCCGCCGATCAGCCGTTTGTTTTATGTAAGAGAGTTCTAAAGCCGAGAGCTAACGTTAGCTTATGTTACAGTGGACTGAAATCACGTTCATTCCTGAGAGTTGCTCAGTGGCGCATTGAAGCCCAAAACGAGCAATTGTTGGTTCAGAAAGGACCCATATGTGGGCCCGCGGAGCATGCGCAGTTGAGTTTTCTCTTAGAAAGTAACTCTGTATTAAGATTTGTCACGCCCTTTGAATTAGACTGTGATGATTTAAATAAGGGCTATTAAAGGGTTAGTGCTGGGTAGTTAATTTAATGAAAAAAAGTATACGCTGATTTACAAACGTATCTTTCTCAAAGTAAGTATATGGGAAAAAGTCTTTTTGGGCCAAAATTACGTCACGGAAGCTGTAGTACCACCATTTGGCCACTACGGCCATTCATACAATTCGGCTTCAAATGCCGGAGCACTTCCTGGGGGCTTGGTTCACACCGCTTGTCGAACTCCACAAATCCACCTAAAACCAATGTCCAAAAAGATTCTGTAAATAATCACAAATTCGGAAATGTCCTCTTCTTTAAGAGCGAAGAGTAGGGGTTGAAAATAACGCTCCCGTCGGGGTACTCCTTACTGGTCGTTAGCCTGCTAGCTTCAGCAGCTAAAGGATGATGCGCCTGCTTCTACGGATTTCATGTACATTCGCTGATCCAGCGTCACATGACGCAAGAGGCGGCTCCCCATTGGTCCATTAAGTGGCTCATTTATATAACGCTTTGATATATATTGTGTAACCTCTTACAGGCAACAGTGGGGGACTGTCTGTGAGCTTCATCCAAACAAGCTCTCAGTTTCTGGCATGTAACATGTTTCACAACATGTGATATTCTATAACATGCATTCAGGTGTAAAAGAAGAATGGTGGTATAGTCTGTGTTGAATCAGCAACTTTATTTCATTTATATTGCACTTTAAAGTTCAGGTTTTGCACCAATGTGCTTCACAAAGACGGACATTGTAATAGGCCTATATGTGCATTTTGAAAAAATATAAATAAGTTAAAACAAAATTCAATTGCAAAATCTGATTTTTTCCCCTTTTAAAATGACATGCAAAAATAAAAGTGGTGTCTGAAAGCAATAACAAAGGTGTCATGTCCTACAGCCAGCTGTAAGGGGTGAAACCATGTTAAAGAGATTCTTAAAGTCTAGACAATGAGAGTGATTTTGACGTTTACCCTGTATTTAAATTTAATTTAAGGTTGCAACAAGGATAGGACTGATGTGTTTTCTTGGACCATGGTTATAACCAGTGGTGTAGCGCTCGTGAACTGTCAACGGGGGGGGGGGGTGGACCTCTGTGTCGCCTGTCAGCTCAACATGATGCGGTTTAAACAATATAATAATAAAGGGCGGTGCCGGCCGTCAGAGAACCGATCCGGCCTTTCTGCGCGACTGTCACTCAAATGCGGGACATAGTCTCAATTTGTGGGACGCGGGACAAATAATAAAAATGCTGTGTGTGCACTGTGCAGTCGTAACGTGGCAGGAGAGTTCTGAATACATTGTTAATGGGAAATGTTAGCCTGAGGAAGGCCTAGATAAAGGGAGTTTCAGTCTGGATGTAGTGCACTAAATAAAAAGATGATAGGAAATGCCACATTTTGGAGATGGTTCTGAGTAGGATAAACTGGAACTGACAACTGCATTTAATTGCCTTTTCGAACTCTGTATTGTCCTCATTTAACTGAAGAAAACTATAAGCCAAACAGCTTTTAAAGTCTTGGAGAAAGTCTAAAATTGCCTGATTTTTGGGGATTAAATGGGAGAGTAGATATATTTTAGTGTTTGGAGGATTTTTTCAAATGAGAGCATAAAAAAACAACAAATAGAAGTGCACCTAAAACTGAACCCTGCAGAACGCCACATTAAATATTTGCGTATGAGATTTATGAACTGATGTTGGAAACACTGATCCGCCTGTTTGAAATGTAATAGGGAAACCAGTCAAGTGCGGACAACGAAATGCCGACCCAGCATGTCAAATGATCAGAAGGATTATAGCAAACTATAGAGCGTTTACCAGCACCACTTTGTCCCTGCTTAATCCCCAGTCCTCGCTGTGGGATTGATTCATTTTTGTTTTATGTAATGCTTTATGTAAGCAGTGTTACATGTGTTGTTTTGGGAGACATATTTCTGTGAATGATTTAACTTCCATTATAGAAAAGTACAATCAAACACCAACACCTTTTTAGTGTTGTTGTGTTGAATGATGTGATGCAAGTTGCTCTTTCAGTTTGCATAACATTTATTATGTAATTATGTTATCATACTGTTCTCTTCCGAATATGACAAATTATCGAATTTAAATGTGTAGGCTACTTGATGCTCTGGCCAAAAAGACGAGTTAATAATAAATGTTTATTTTAAAATTCAGCAAAATTAGCATATCAGCTCTAGATGGTGACAGTGGGTGAATGATAATGTTTGGGCTGAATGAAGAAGGTACGATTTAAGAGTAATTTGGTTATTTTGAAAGTATGGTATACAATAATGAAATTATAGCTTACACAATTCGTCTCCTTGATGTCTTTAAACGATAGTTGCATAATTTCCCCAGTAACAATAATTAGGTTGGAGTTCAACATATTTTGACAATCAGGAATGTGTGTGTGCTGCTTCCTTAAGATGCAAAAGTTCCTTGTTAAAATATTATCTAAGCCGTTGTTTACCTGCAGGCTGAACTGGTACAGCCCCATGATGCTTTGCATAACCTTTCCTAGGACAGATTGTCAAAGAGATAGTGTCACAACTTTACAAGATACAGGGACGATACTGTACAGGTGTGTAGTTAGGATCAAAAAACAAAGGTTAAGTACGAAGGCGCACCTGTGTGCATGTATGTCTTTGGACAGATTTCATAACCGCGAAAGCATTGCAGCCATGCAACCATGCAAGATTCAGTCAAGAAATTATGTGTTGTTTAACAAGTTATGCAAATTGTATGTTAGACAACAGAACAATGTGACCTTCGAAAAGAAGAAACCAAGATATTTAGTATCAAAAATGATTTGATTTATAGGGAAACCTGTCTTTCATGAAGCATATTCAGTCAGTAGCCTTTACACCAAGAAAGAAACACATGAGCATACTGCAGTTTAAAAAAGCAGAAATAAAATCTGAGCTGACAGAAAATGCTCCGTTTTAGTTTAACACACACAGTTAAGCTCACACACACTATTTTATGAACATATAGGTTCACCTGCTGAATTAAAAACAGAACAAATGAAGCAAAGAAAGTCATAAAGCAGATTCAGGCAGTAGAAGTATAGATTCAGACTTAAAGTATTATCCTACAGAACAGAACAGCTGACAGAAAAGAGACAACATCTGATCCTTTTACAACACACACTATATGCTCTTTTTTGTATTTTACCTAACATTGTAATCCCCAGGTTTTAGAAATGTAATGTAATAGTCTGATTACGTCTTTTTTTATGTAACTGTAAAGGAATACAGTTACCATCCTGATGACATAATCCTGTTACATGGACTCGTTACTCCCCAAGCCTGATGTTAACATGCAGATTGCAGATCAAGATATAGGTTGCAGGCGCAGAGCCTGGTGAGGATGGCGAGTATAGGATCAGTGTGTGACCGGATGTCAGCTTCTCCGTTATGTAAAGATCTCTTACTGAGAGAAGCTGAGCATAACCTCAGTGACCCTGTTCACCCGATACACCTAAGCCATCGGGACAAATTAAATAAGAACATCCAGGTTTAGCACATATTTTGTACCCTCAGCAGTCAGCAATGCACAATAGAACCAATTATTTATAGTACTTGAATGTGTTGCAATATATGTACATATTATCATGTTGAAGGGATCTCTGTATTGCGTGTGAGTGGGTGCTTTGGAGTGCTAATTTCCATTTGACTTGTATGAAATTGTAGAGTTTTTTTATAACTAAACAAACAAACAAACAAACAAACAAACACGAAAGGTACTAAAGTTTTATTAAAGAGGTTCATATGTTGACTCTACTCTGTGACATGTCTCCATGCTTTAATGTTCAAAAAGCTCTTTATTTTTCTCATACTGCCTGCCTCTTTTCACCCTCTGTCTAAAACCAGAGCCCAGTCTGCTCTGATTGGTTAGCTGGCTGGCTCTGTTGTGATTGGTCAATTGCTTCGAGATTTCCTGCCCCTTAGCCTATCACGTACAATGTGTTGGAGCGATAGCCAACAGAAGCTTAAGTGTAACATAGTGATGTAACTATGTTCAGGAAGCAAACAAATGAGTCCAATCGAGAAACTCCCTCTGGAGGGAACACAGGGATTTTAGCCTTTGCAGACCATTTACATGCACTAAAACCTTTAACACACTACAGGAAAGGCAGAACCTCAAAAAGCCCAACAGGACCGCATTAAAAATATCAGTTATTCCTCTTGCTACATTTTCTGCTTTTTTTACTGTATAGGGTGGACTTAGGCACGAGAGCTGCCTTTTTTTTTTTTAAAGATGGAGCTTCTCAAAGATGGGTTTTTTAACAGACTACTTTTTAGAGATTATAAAGTTTGCATAGATCTTGAAACTTTAATAATGGAGATTAATGTGTTTAATTCCTTAATATGAGTAGTCCAAGCGAGGGAGTAAGGGGGGCGATCCTATCAAGATATGGTCTCTAGTTACATATGTATTTTTAGATGTAGGATTTGAAGCCTTAATCAGATGCCCTCACATTGGTGTCGGGAACGGAAGTCAGCATCCAAAGTCACTACGGCGGCATTTCTTAATCTGTGTAGTAATCCTGACGCTCACCTGAGGCTCCTCTGATGGACTGTAATCTTTGGGATTACACCAACAGGCCAACGCTGCAGGAGTCATGGGAAGCAGCCAGCGAATCATTTCCAAACACCTACTGACTTGGAAAGGGTCCAAGCACGTGTGAGCATGACACAGTTTAGGCTTGGGGAGTAACGGATGACATGTAACAGGGTTATGTCATCAGAATACAAGAAAAGGTCACTTTATTCCCTTACATTAAAACAATCTGATTACTGTTACATTTCTAAAATTGGGGATTACTAGCAGGATTACAGTGTTACTAACAAACAAATCTCTTCTCTGTCAGCTGTTCTGTTCTGTAGCATTTTCTGTCAGCTCAGATTTTATTTCTGCTTTTTTAAACTGTAGTATGTGCTCATGTGTTTCAGTGTTGGTGTAAAGCCTGAATATGCTGAATGAAAGGCAGGTTTTACTATAAATAAAATAATTTTTGAACATTAATATCTTGGTTTCTTCTTTTTTAAGGTAACATTGTTCTGTGGTCTCTTACATAAAACACTTCAGTAAAATAAATACCTCTTGATATTTATTTTCTCTTTTACTCATTTGCATTTCATTTGATATTGAGGTAACCCAAAACTAATGGAAAGTAATCGTCTACATAGCTTTTACATTTTGAAACTCAGATTAGGTTACTGATGACATGTTTTACAGGCTACCAGTAACTGTAACCGTTGTAACTGTAACTTTTCAAAGTTATCTTCCAAACCCTGACAGTGTGATATTGGTACGTACGTATCTCACATCAAACCGGCGTCACAGTGTTTCCCAGAGTGACCTAGTATTTACTTGCTTTGCTCATGTGTACAAACACATGTCCCTTGAGGAGTT